ATAGTCCGAATATCACGAATATATCCGAATATCGTGCAAATAGTTATTTTTTCTTGTTGGTCCATGATTCCGGTTGGCGTGTATATGAATGAATGAACTGATGCTTTTTGTTTTGCAGTCATTTTTCAACATCATCATCGCCATCGATATTACCGTGAATGCTACCGTGTGTGTGTTCAGTTTATTAGCGCATAAAACAACCGAAACAAACAAACCATTGAATTGTTCATAGGGAAACAAAAACAAAAAACAAATTTCGGATAAATTTGTCTCAATGGGCAAAACATATTAAATGAGGCCATAAATTAGATTTTTTTTTTGTCATTTATGTTTGTGCAAACATCGGTACACCTTGACATTTTTCACGTTTCAGCAACACAAAAATTCAGCTCTAAATTTTCTGACGATAAAGACTGAGTTTATGCCATTTGACCTAGGTCAAGAAACAAATATTTACCAATGAGATTATGTGTCGACTATGTAAACACTGACAATGACTGCTGCTGTATGACACATTTGACTTTCCCAAACTATTTCTTTTTCTTTTTTCTAGCCGGATCCATAGAGTCATTTTATTTATCATCAAATTTTTTTTGCTTGCTTGCTTGTCATCAACAATAACGTTTACCCAATTAAATTAAATTCGATACCAGAAAGTTTGTCGATCATTCAATGATCTTTCAAACAGGATATTCAATTTTCGTAAATTGAAAATGAAATAATTTTTGAAAAAAATTTGTGACCATAAGCCAATGATACTTGATGACATGACATGACTGACTGACTGAATGTTTTTTTTTCTCTTCAGTGATTAATGCCAATTATCATTGACCAAATAAACTTACAAAGATTTGTTTCTACCTTAAATTTTTTTTTGTTGATGGATTTAATGATAATGTTTTTATTTTTTTCACTATGCTTGACATGATTAAAAACATTTGACATGACACTTTTAATTTCAATTTCTATTCATTTTATTTTCACTGTTGTTGATGATGATGCAATTGACATTTCATATTCGTGTTAAATGAAAATGAAAAAATACATCATTTTTGGAAACAAAATATGATCAACGAGAGAAAGAGAGGTTTGATCATCGATTGATCAATGACATGATGATCAATCTAGCAATTGAAAAAAGTAAATTTTTTCTCTGTCTTTGTCCATTCGTATTAATGCATCTATGTTGTCCACACATGTCTACATTAATTTGATTTGTCATTTTTTTTTCTTCTTGTTGATTATGGATGGATGTTGTGTGTGTGTAGAAATGTTTTTTTGCAAATCACACCAAAATGGACATTTGAGCTCTATGATGATAACTAACTAACTATATTTACTAATCACAATAAAGTAATATTTCTTGTTCATCATCATCATTTTCATGTACTAATTATAATTGGATTCAAACAACAAGAAACTTTTTTTTTTGGGTTTCTCATTTCTATTCAATGATTCCCTCTCATCTCTTGATGTTTGTTTGTTTGTTGTTGAAAAGTTGAAGGCATTTTTTTTTGTATAAGAATCTTATTACATTGAATTTTGTTTTATTCTAATCCAAGCCTTATATCGTTGTCCAATGGCTACCATTTTTTTGTTTTGTTTTACTCCCAGGCTGTCAGATTCCGTTTATATCTGAATCTTTATGATCTGTCTGATCTGTTTGTGTGTGTGTGTGATTCATGGATTTTTATTTTCGTTTGTTTGGTTGTTGTTTGCATTTTCATGATTGCTCCTTGTAAATGAAATAGACTTTTGTTAAGTTTAAATAAAAGATAAAACGAGAGAGAGAATCCTACGATGATGATCATCAAGATGATGTTGAACAAAAAACACGCAATTTTTGGAACAGGTAATATTGAATTTAGTAAATTAAACAAACGAAAGTCTATCACACAACATCAATGTCAGGTATAAATTTGACAGAAGAGAATTGACCCTATAGGCTTAGTGTGATTAATTTTTCTTTTCTTTTCTTTTTATTTCTGGTTGTTGACTTTTTTTTTGTTGTTGTTTTTATCCCATTCACTTGTATGAAAATTCAACAACAACAACAAAAAAACTGACATATTACATACATACACCGACGCGCACGAGATTAATGTAGCCATCAAGTTTGGCCATCAAATCAAAATCAAAAATAATAATAATCTTATATAACATGATATGAACATGAACATGAACATGAATGGATGGACATGAACATTTTTGACATTTCAAACATCATCATCAAATGAAAGGCACAGTATATACACAGAGTGAATGAAAACAACATTTTACACTCTTTTCCGCCCAAAGTTATCAAACGGAAATTTTTCCTTGAAAATCAAACTTTTTTTGTTGTTGAAAAACTGATTAAATTTTTTTGAATAACAACAACAACGACGAAAATGAAGAGAGGAAAAACATTCCACAAAGATTATAATCAGTTAGTTTTTGACTATCTATCTATAGATCATTTCAGATCTGAAGCTAATATGATTTCCAAAATCTCTGGAATTTCGTTTTTTTTTTTTTTGAATAGAATTTTCTCATTTTTAGATCCTTTTATTATTGCGAATACAATGCAAAGAAATTCTTATAATATCTTTGTTGTTGTTGTTTGTCCGTTTGTCTATTTTGAATAGTTATTGAATTTACGTATACACGTAGAAAAACGTAGAATTGAATTGAATTCCCGTTGAGTGAATATACAACTTTGACGAAAAAGATGAGAACTTTTCTCTTCTTTTTTTTCTGTGGAAAAATGAGAGAGAAAACTTAATTTAAATTCCTTGTGTGTGTATGATTTGTTCATCATCATCATTTTCAACAATATATACTGATGCCACAGATGCCTAGAATATTTTGTGTCCATTGTGTATAATTCGGTTTTTCTGATTTTCTTTATAGATTCTTTGCATTGTTGGTTGGTTTGGGTTGTCATTGCCATCCATTCCTTACAGGCTTTTTTTTCTTTTTTTCTTTTCTTATTTTGCTTTGATTATGCATTTAAATTTTCATTTAATTTATCCAAGCAAAGAAATAACGAAACAAATTTAGATTCCTTTTGAATTTGGGAAATAAGTTACGTATGTTGAATGTTTTGTAACAATGTTTTTCTATTTTGTTGTTGTTGTTGTATCCGTTATATAAAATGTAAAAATAATTCATTTCCATTTAAAAGATGCATTTGTCTCTCTGTTTGTCTGTTTGCCTGTCTGTCTGTGTGTTTGTGAAGTAATTTCAATTTGAAATTTGCTACATAAGTGACCATATCCAATTTGTCCAAAATTTTATTTTGCCATTTTTTTTCATTAACAATAAATTTTCACCTGGACACATTGTATATTTAGTTTAGTTATTTGAGAGATTCGTCATGGCCATTGTGTGTCTTTGTTTAATTAAAATTTTTTTTCTTTTTTTTATTCAATTTAAACCTGTCCACTGTTTTTTTTTCTGTTGTTTTGCTGTTCAAATGGATGAACGATTCTCACACAAACGAAGCAAAATACACAACACAGTGGTCGGGTCAAAGTTAATTTGTTTCAAATGAGATTATTTGCCTTTATTATCATACTGATGATGATGATCAACATTGATTGATGTTATTTTTACCTATTATCTCAATTCAATTTAATTCTCTCTCTCTCTCTCTCGATCGATCGAATGATCGAATTGATCGATTCATAATCAATCGAATCAAACTACCACAATACCATACTGCTATTCATGGTTGGCCAATGTCATATTTATTTGACATTACCTATATGTGCTCATATGATTTTTTTTTTGTAAAAAACCATATTACAACGAGAAAAAGATAACCAAAAGAAAAAATGTATTGTCGGCATAATTACTCAATCACACTTGAGGCCATCAACATTTTTTTCGTCTTTTTTTTTTTTTTTTTTTTTCGTTTGCTGGGATGATGCATTCGAATCGATGATTGAATGATGCTCAGGATTGATGACTATGGTGTGTGTGTGTTTGTTCTTTTTATCCATCTCTCTCTTGCTTTTTTTTCTCAATTTTCTATGGACAAAAAAAAATCTTATTTCAAGGGGGCCAAAGATGTTTAGTTAGCTAATAATGTGGCTGCTGCAATTTTTGTTTGTTGTTGTCCTTTCAGTAATTCAGATTGATTCGAAAAACCACAAAAACCAAAGAGAGAGAGAGAGAGAGAGAACGATTGATAGATAATAAGGTAAAAATGTAATAGCTGCAAGCACCGACCTACCGATCACCGATCAATCATCATTTAAGCTTGATTGCTATTTAGACACTTGCTCCCATTTATATATCTAAGAAGATGCTCTCTCTCTCTCTCTCTCTCTCTCTCTCTCTCTTCATGCACCTCTTCATAAAATATTACCAAAAATGTATGTATTGTCGATTTTTGATGATGATGAAAATAATGAACCATGTGGTCCATCTACCATTCGACCAGGTCATTCGCCATGATTCGATCAGGTCGGCTAGGTCAATTTATTATTATTATCATCATTAATGGTAATAATTGTCATAAATTTATCTCATTATAAAGAATTTCATTTCATTCTAAGCTCTATTCTATTCATTCATTCGTTATTCTATAGTCGTTATTGTATACAACGATTATGACGGATGTTCAATCCATCATTCTTTGGTTAGAGAAAATGAAGAAAAAAATTCATATTGATTAATGTCATATGCATGTATTCGGATACCGGAACCATTTCAATAATGATAATAATAACATTGGATGTCCGCTTGTTGCATCCAAGCGTATACAAAAACAACAGCATAAAAAAAATGATAATTAGAAAGAATTGCAAATGAGTGATTTGGATACTATTATTTTGGTTTTTCTTGTTTTGTTTGTTTTGCATTGCATTTTATTGTTCACTTTGATTACGCAGGGCATATAGTAATTATTATAATGGGCGCATCGTTGACTTTTTTTTTCGTTGTTGTTGTTTTTATGAATAATACATTGTATTTATTTATTTTGTTTGTTTGTTTCGTTTTCTGTTACACAGATGAACATGAAGAAGATAGCAATAGAATACGAATACCATCATCATTATGTAATGGACAATCATATCCACTTGGTATGGAATCGGGTGAAATTCGTGATCAACAAATAACATCATCTTCATCATATAATCTACAATCGGTTGGACCACAGAATGCCAGGTAAATTTTATTCTCACATTCATTCATTGGATTTCTATTTCCATTCTGATTTTTCCTTGTTATTATTATTATTATTAACTAAATTGATCATTTTTGGTTCTCTCAATTTAACTGTTACTCTTGAACTGTGTGTCAATCTAAATAATTAACTTATAATATCTACCTTTGTTGTATTATTGATTCTGATTACTATTTCAATGGGAATAGGATTTTTGTTTGTTTAGTTTGCTTTAACATGATACAATAATCGTCGTTGTTTAGCATACATAATTTTCTCTTATTTGGTCAGATTAATGATCAAAATCATTGTAGCATTGATTCTTCAGCGATGATGATGATGATGATATAGTCTTTTATAATGGGAAAATTATTATCTAATAATTACTATGGAATCGATCTTCTTCATTAAACCGGGATAACAACAAAAAACAAAACAAAACAGAAAACCACATACGGTAGTCAACACACGCACAAATGGCTAACCATCATTAGCTACCGCTTTCATCATCATCATCGTTGTTGATTTTGACTTTAAAAAACAACAACAAACAGGAAAGTGAAAATTTGTTTAATAACAAGCTTCCACAGTAACAACAACAAAAACAACAAAAAAACAATGTTTGTTTGTAATTAATTGCCGGCTGAAACAAACAGCCATTGATTCAATATACGCATAAAGGTCGAACAATCATCAAATAGAAACTAACCGACCACAAACTACTGTCATCAATGGTACACCGAAATTTTTGACCTTATGAAAATATCAGGCAAAAAAAAATTAAGGTAGCCAAAATAAAATGATGGTCATGTGAGAGAACAGGCAAATGTTGTTTAATGAATTTATATTTTTTTTTCGTTGATTTTACCTAAATATATCTATCACATTTATGAATTTGATTGCATCTGGGGTACAAAAAAAAAATTTCGTCTATAGCCAACGGCTAATGAATTAACATTTTTCGTTTCTTCTCCTCTACGCTTATTTCTTTAAAAAACTTTCTGATGCTACATTTTTTTTCATTGTTAATGTTTTTCGTTGTTGTTGCATTCGGGTAATAATCGATTCGGTAATGATTATTATTATTTTTAATTTCATTGAATTTTCTATCGTTTTTTGGAATATCATTTCGTTGGCCACTGAAAGCTAAGATGAAAATGTTAGACATTTAGACTTTTCACATCCCATAGTGCCAGGCCACCTGAGTGTTGAATTTGTTTTTTTTGTTGTCATTTTTTGTGTAACCAATTTAATCTATTAAAGTGCACCTGAAATGTTCAATGTTGGTTGAAAGTTTTGAGTTTCATGTTTTTTTGCATCATTCCACGATTCCTGTTTTGTTTGCCTGTTCGATCGTTGATATCGTCTAACAAACAAAAACAAACATCATATGTATATGGCTACCGGTAATATTCGATCCGTATACACACACACGTTTATCACGCACTTATCATTTGAAACACCAATCTAATTTGCATGTTTATCGATTCGATAGTTCATATAAAAACTGCATAATATTTCTTTCTTTCTAATTCTTTTCATTCGTTTGTTTTCATAATCGTTGATCATTTTTTTCTTTCTTTGGTTCTGGACGAATTGTTTCGTGTCTGATAGTAATGTATCTTGTTGTTGTTGGTTTTTTGGTTTTTGATGACAATAAATAAAAATAATATTCATTCCAGGACACGTGTCTTTGAACGATGATAATGGTGTTTGGGTAATCTTATAAAGTTTACCTAAGGAATATTGTTTTTTTCATTTACCATTCGGGATATTTACACCATTTATTTGTGCTGATTTACGACTTTCAATTGTCTTTTCTCGTGTGTGTGTTGGTTCTAATCGAATATTATTATTATTGCTTGTTGTTTGTTGTCGTCGCTGTTGACAAACCAACCATTATTTTAATGAAATTTTTCCATTTTTTTCCAGGTTTAATTTCTAGTCGGTTACAGATTCGTATATAGAGAGAAAAAAAGAAGGCTGTTCTTTTATTGTTTCACTAGATTAGATGAAATGTTTTTTTTTTTTTTTTTTGGTACTTTGAGATTCAAACCATATGGTCGCCACATATATCTTTTGTTTTTAGCTAAAATCGGGA